TTCCCACAGATAATTCTCGGCAGTATCCATAACAAAATTAAGCAATGGCCTCTTTATTTAACTGTCTTTATCAAGCTTTGTACTTACTAATTAGCTCCTACATGCACCACAAAAACTGCATCTCTGCTAGCCCCTTTATTATATCTCCTGCTCTGTCAGTTATATCCTCCACCTGTGCAGCATTATCTGATCCTTTTCTCCCTATTTACCACACAGACTATACTATCCACATGCCTTGTCAAGGAATCACCTATAACTATAACCTCCATATCAACCCACATCCTTAATAATTTATTAGAACAACATATGTAACGTTAATAATAAAATGTATTTAGCCTGGTTTATATTATAACCTACCTACATCTATAACTATAAGCTGAATTTAAACTAATGGATCCAAGTTCAAGTAAAAAAGTTAATTCTTAAAACACCAAGAGACAATAAACTAGTTTTTAGATTGTATTTATTTAATTAAAAAATTTATTTATCCTGTTTTACAATTTACCAGTAAGTTGACAACAACTACTCGCCAATTTCAAAATAACTATTAGTGGATTCTAGTATAAAATGAGCTCTTTCTAATGCTTATATGCATGTGTATCTAGAACTGCATATATGTTATAAAGCTCAAGCAAAAGTGTAGAAAGTGGATGTGGCACCTCTCAGGGGTTGACAAAATTTATTACTTGTTTATGCCATTCAGCCAGAGAACTTTGAAACTTACATGTCAATAGGTCAAATAGACATACTAAAGTGTCTAGACATAATCTAGTTAATTATTTTTGTTAGTCATGACACTAATTGATTAAGTTGAACAAACTTGAATTAATGAAAAACAATAATAAAAAATTATAATGGCAATATTTCAATTACTTGGATAGTTGGAATAATCTAAAATAGTAATAACTTGAAACCCTAATTTTTATTAATTGATTAATTTCATTATCTGTGGCGCACTTGGATAGTTGTAATAATTGAAAATAGTATTAATTAGAAAAAATATTTTTGATTAATCAATTGTTTTATGTGACAGTAATTGATGCTCATAGGTAATCAAGTTAATTGCTCAGATTTTGTGATGATACATCTCTTATTGACAGTGACTTTACAGTGCGCAAACCACTGATGTGCTACTTAAAATAAAGTGATTGCTGTATCTTGTTATTGACTTACCCAAACTAAAGAAATCACACAATGTATCATATAACATTGATTTTTTTAAACTTTCACCACTTGAAACAGAAAATGTAATGTCTATGGTGTTTTGAGTCTGTTTTACTCCACCATATAATAATCTAAATTAATTTCACCTCTGGTTAAAAAGAAAAGAAATCTTTAACTTATATGTACAATCAGAAAATATAATGCATACTGATTTGTTCTTCACATTATTTGAAAAATATTTTTTACATTGACACACAGTGTTCCATTGGCCATATTTTCATTTACATTGACAGTATTCCATTGGCCATATTTTCATTTACATTGACAGTATTCCATTGGCCATATTTTCATTGTAAATTATCATTTTGTCTTAAGGAAGAGCTAGTAGAATGAGTAACTAAATCCTAAACTGTCTAGTTTCGAGTTCTAACAGAACATAACTTTTTACATGGATATTATAAATGTATCTTATTAAATATCATTTTTCTGCAAACATGTATGTTGAGATGCTAGAAACATAAAAATATAGTAATATTCAAGCTATCAACATTATACTTGTATTTCCCTAAAGAAATATATTCTGCAATAAGCAGTCATCACAAAATTAAAAACTTGCATCTAAAGTAATGTTTTGTACCTCAGTACTGATTTTAGTGCTCCTTGTCCATGTAAAACAACATGAGCTCCACATGGGCAAAGAGTATACCAGCTTCATATGTGATGCAGTCTCTCACAGGTGTGTTTTCTCTACATGGAGGTGGCACACTCCATGTGTGCTCTTCAGATGCTTTTGAAGAGTACTCACCTAGGTAATTTTACACCAGTACCTTTACCTACTCAATGTGGGATTCTAGCTGTAACTGTGAGATGTAATCATATCGGAAATTAATATTTTCCTACACTGAAAATATATTTCCAATAGATACTTACATCCTCCCACACTTACCACCAATTTTGTTGTTTTTCATGCCTAGTCTCAAAGGGAATATTGAATTCAACTGCATAGGGGGGTCAGCTGCAATACAAGGGTGTGTTGCACTTGTATTGGTGGAAGGTTGTTGCATGCTTAAATGAAGCTGAACCACGTGGTCTACATGTGTAATTAGATGCGAGTTCAAGGCACTAGAAGGAAGTCAAATCAAGAATAGCTGTAACTGTGAGAAGAGATAAGTATCTATCGGAAATATATTTTGAGTGTAGGAAAATAATAACTTATAGATTGCTATTTAAGGGTTACCTTCACCATTTTCAGTGTATTGTAAGTTTATGAACTATTTTAGTTTCTTCCATCCAGTTCCATTATTCAACCAGTATTTTATTTTTAGTCAGTAGCAATCTATACAGTTATAGGATCCCTAATGACCAATAGATTACCAGTAGCAGTCCATGTGGTTACTGAATCCCTAATAACCTTAAGATTACCAGTAGTGGTTCATGTGATTACAGTATCCCTAATGACATATGAGTCACAAAAATTCTCTCATTATTTTTATATAATCCCACTAACTGTTGTAAGGGTTTTCTTATATTCTTTACTTAAAAAATGAATGATTTTGTGTAATTTTTTCTTTGATTCTTTACACTGAACGATGTGTCTGATTTAAAAAAAATTATTCAGTATTATGGAGCATGTGGATACACTAGTTTTGAACAGTATACAAATAAGTCAGTATGTTTAAGGTTATTGGTGTTTATTTCATGATTTTCAAAATAACCATGCACCCAGAAGAGAAACAAGTACTCAAACAGTTCAAATTGCTTATAGATAACTCTCAAAAAATAATAAGTAATATTTATGAGAGACTGAAAACATCACAGTCGTTACATACCCTTATAAAGGACAAGAAAGAGAAGGCATGTAGTGTCTTTTAACTTGAAGCTGTCTGTTGTAACAAATAGATGTATATGTGTATTACAAACTTTGTGACATAAACACTTACATATGACATACTTCGTTGCTTTTATCTGTTAGTTTGTTTCTGAAATCCAACCAATCATACAGATGTGACATAAGCTTGTATTGTGGGTTCAGTTTTGTGAATTTGTTTCCTTTTATTCTTTCTTCAAGTTTGTTTCAGCTTTACAGTTTTTCTTTTTTATATAAACCTCCTGTTTGACTAATGTAAATCAGCTATCCAAGCCTACACCATAGCCAGTAAAGATATACAATTTTATACCCCAATTTTTGTTTCACTGTACTAATGGGCATATCTTAACATTGCTTTGTAGAAAGATTGTCTAGCCCAGCAGTGTGTGTGTATAATGCTAGAAGATAAGAAGTGTTTTCTGCTTTCAGATTTTCAAAATAAATATCACAATAACTGTAGACAGGACCTTCAGTGATCGATTACCATCAGAGGGGTGGTGAAACTGAAAAATATAGTCATGGTTAATTCTTAGATTTATTAATACAGTGTGTTTAATGTCAAAGAAGTTTTAACAATAATTTCATGTCTGTCGGTTACGGGGTCCATAAGAACATGCGAGTCACACAAACAAAATTAGTATGGCAGTTAATCTTTTTAATTGTTGCTGTCGGGTTATTATGTATTTTACATATAAATTAGTGATTTCACCAATGTGGTGATTTTTTTATGCCATGAATTAGTCTGTCAAAAATAATTTGTGTTAACAGAATGGTAGTAAAAAATATTGGAGGACTCATAACTGTAGATGTTTACCATTTGTTGAACTGTGTCGCTTTTAAAATTTTTTATGTGAATATCACTGTTTGTTAAACAATATATACTGCTAAAGCTAAAAGTAAATACTGGATTTCTAAATAACAGTAACATCATTGTGCTTGCTGTTATTAATTTTTCTTTGATTTTCATTTTATTACAGGGTCAACCCCCACAACAACCAATTGCTTTGGAATTAGCAAGGGTAATTTGTTTTAAACAACATTTTTGATTGTCGGTAAAAATAAGTATTGGAATTTTAAAAACTTGTATATGTTTGTTTGTCAAAGAGCTATAGACTTTCTATTAGGTGAGCTAGAATGTATAAAATAAAGTATATTTTCTGCTATTTCTACATATAAACACAAGTTTAGAACTGGGTAATTAGTGAAATTTGATAATTAATTTTCCCTTCAGACTTGAAGAGTTTGAATAGTTGAAAATAGTAATAATTGGAAACAAATTTTAATTAACCAATTATTTTTGTAAGTCATGACACTAACAGATTAAGCTGAACAACCATTAATTGATCAAAAATATTAATGAAAAATCATAATAACAATATCTTGATTATTTGAATGCTTGAAGTAATCAAAAACATTAATTTATATTTTTTATTATTTTCTTGACAATCTATTTAATCATAAATTTGATTAATCAATTATTTTACATGACACTAATTGATATAATCAGTACTCATGGCTAATATTGTTGAATATGGTACAAGAGTTGTTTTCTTTTAAAGTGTTTTTATTTGTGTCTGATTTCTGTAGATTAATCCAACTAGTTTTAACTGAAGTTTTGCAACAAGAGTTGTTTTCCTTTGAAGTGTTTTTTATTTGTGTCTGATTTCTGTAGGTTAAACCAACTAGTTTTAACTGAAGTTTTGCAACAAGAGTTGTTTTCTTTTGAAGTGTTTTTATTTGTGTCTGATTTCTGTAGGTTAATCCAACTAGTTTTAACTGAAGTTTTGAAAGTTCAAATACCCCTACAGACTTTATAAAACAAATTAAACATGTATGCAAATGATAGACATTTCTTTGTTGTTATTATTTTGAAGTTGCAAATTCTTATGTATAGAATTCTAGGTGTTTTCGTTATTGGCATGATTTAGAAATTTTATAGCCCCGAAAAATGTTTAAAACCACTTAAACATCAAGAATGAAAATTTGCTTCTAGTTTTGAAATTCCCCCTCCAAAAGGAAACAGGTTATTTCTGTAGGTTATTTTTTGTTGTTTTGGTCTTTACACACATTTACATACAAATAATCTGGTACAGTGAAGCCATGTAATAGAATATGTGTGGAAAAAGCACCCTCCTATTGGGCATCTGTCATTTTTCTTTTGCGTTAAAATTTGTGTTTCATAAGACTCCCATGGTAAACTTACTTGTAGGTATTTAAATGGTATATAAATTTGTAGGTATTGTAATGGAATACCTAGAGAATACAAGTAATGAAATAAGTACCACTATAATCAGGATAATTGAAATGAAATTCAGTCTTTTATTTTCATTCATAAAATTTGTCTTATAATTTCTTATGATATTTTCCTTTTAAAAAATATCTATAAATACTTTACAAATTCCCTTAAAAGATCCCTATATTTTTAGGGTTGGATGACAGCCTTTAAATCGAAGTTGAGGATAAAATTTCTTTTGAAGGTTCAGATAGGAATTAAGAATTGTAACTAATATGAAACTCAATTGATGTTATTGAATTAGAAACCTTATTCTTTAAATGCTGTGCAATTATATTGGTTTTTATTTATTTTTGAAGTAATGTTTTTGCAAAGAAGTACTTTGGACAGCAATCATTGTAATTATAATCTACTTAATCTTGTTTATGTAATCAGGCAAGATTGTTGGTGAAATAATTACATGAATCTACAGTAAACATTGAATAAAGTGTTAGAATTTACTAAAAATACTTGCCAAAAGTTATTACAATTTGTTTACATTTCTCTATGTCTTTTTAAACGGTATTCCATTGTGCGGTATTATTGTAGTAACATACTTTTTAAACGGTATTCCATTGTGCGGTATTATTGTAGTAACATACTTTTTAAACGGTATTCCATTGTGCGGTATTATTGTAGTAACATACTTTTCTTGCAGATCTTGAAATATCAAAAGTTAACAAAGGTTTGGTTTCAACGCATGGTTGACAGTAGAGTAAGTTTCACATTATTGTTTGGCATAATTCCTCTATTTTTGCAATTTTTTCACATAAAAAATTATAATAATATGGATATGCCAACAGGAAAATGATAAAAGAATTAATGTAGATTGGGATGAGTGGCAGGTGTTTCTTAATGACAAATTTAAGCAGAAGTGTGAACTAAATCACAATATTTCTTCCACCACCAATAATATAATAGGCACCTTGAAGAGATTGGACTTTGGACATACCTGGTTTATATTTTTTTATGACTTCCTTTATGAATTAATTGTTTAAGTTTCTCTAAATGAAGGAAATATAGAAAAAGAATTGACCCTATAATGCATTTATAATAAAAAAACTAATTATTTAAAATTTACTTGTTGAGAAATTACTACAGATCTTCCATTTTTGATAAGATTTAAGTTATTATATCAAAATGTTCTTTTCAAAGATCCATAGGCAGACGTTATGTTCATAATCTATAAAATAGAAACATTAAATAAATAAAAAAGTATTTTACATAAGTTTTGAAAGTTTCATAATTATAATAATAGTGTATATACATGCCTTTCCTAATTATTATTTAATCAGAAATCAAAATTGGATTTGTTCCAGGTCATGCGAGTATAAAACAACTCCAAGCTAATGCCCCTTTCATGCACTTTTTTTTATAATCCCTTTTATTTACTAATAGGAGCATATGAAATATATATGTATTTCTTAGACATAGTTATCAAAGAAATTTGCTAAAGAGCAAACTTTTATTTTCTCATTTTATTGGGTTATGCTGAGTAGTTCTTCCAAATGACAGGCAAGTGCAATTAGCATCCTGCATTGAAGTGATGTTCATAAAAATAAAGAGGAATTTTTTATCAGTTATATGGGTTCACGGCGTTGGTGGTACTTCACAGAACTATGTAAAATATGTTGTTGTTTTTTTCTTTAGGAAAGCCTGTTTTCAGAAACAGGTCACCAAACTATAGAAGAACTTGAAGATTATGCTGAAAGATCTGTTTCTTCTGTTTATTACTTAATTCTACAATCTATGGGTAAGTGAAAGGTCTGTTTCTTCTGTTTATTACTTAATTCTACAATCTATGGGTAAGTAAAAGGTCTGTTTCTTTTGTTTATTACTTCTACATATATTGGAAAGTGAAAGATCTATTTCTTCTGTTTATTACTTAATTCTACAATCTATAGCACAAGTCAAGAATAACTATTATGTGTAAAGAGGTAAGTTTCTATCAGAAATACATTTTCAGTGTAGGAAAATGTTAACTTTTCTGCCTATTATATAATTTTACATCTCCCAGTGAGACAGCAGTAAGTCTTCATATTTATAGATCTAAAATCTGAGGTTCAATTTTCCTTGGTGGACATAGCAGAAAGCCTTATGTGGCTTTGCTATAACAGAAACAAACACACTTAATTTTACAATTTGTGGGTAAGTGAAAGTTCTGTTTACTACTTAATTATACAATTTATGGGCAAGTAATTCATGAGCTTTGAAATATGTTATGCCTTGTCATTGCAACTTGTGTTGAAACTTCCTACTGTTTTTGACCTTGAAGTAGTGTTTGCTGTAAGATTCTTAGATGAAAGGTATATAATTGCATGTCTGAAGCAAGCATATTTTTGCTACCTTTAATTTTAGTTTTAAACAAATGGTATTATTTGCAGTTAAGTGTTAAAACCATCTCCCAAAACCCTCCTCCAATTAATGATGAGTTCATTAACTTAAATTTTATAGATAGTAATACATCTATACTGTTTTAAATGTGTATTGATGGTATATCAGTATTAAAATTAATAATAAACATTTCAGCCAACAGTTTTCACCAGGACCAGATATAAAGTAATTTAAACAAAATTTTTTCTTCCTAAATTTAAAAAATTTTTGCACCTTCAGATTTAATCATGTTCTTTCTTCTTTTTGATGATGTTGATTTAAATTTTGAAGAAAGCCAATTTACAAAAATGTTGGATTTTATTGTCTTTCTTTTTGTCTTTTCAATGGCTTGAACCATTTTTCTATTTTTATCACATTATTACAATCATACTTCTTTAAATACAAGATTTCTAGAATAATACAAAAAAATTCTAATCCTAGACACCAAAATCTACAAGTTCACTTGTCTTAGGCCTAACATTAATTAAGCCTATGATCTATATTTGATAAAAGAGATAAGTTAACTATAACTTGTTTTTTAGCTTTTGTTTAGTTAGGGATAAACTTTACCATACTTAATACTATCAATAAATAAACTTATAATGTTATTCTACAACCTAATGTGAGATCTTTTTTAAAAACTTTGATAAGTTTTTAATTTTTATGCTACAAAATATCTATTTAAGTTTATTTATGTCTGTTGGAATAAAGTGTGGCACGTACACACTGAGATAGTAAGGTACATGCTCGTTTGCAGGACAGATGAAAACTGAGTTTTACTATAATAAATTGATAACAAGGAACCCACTTTAAAAACACTTTATCATATATATGATATTACCTGCTTTTGAAATGTGAAACCAGCAAATAAGATTGTAAATTTTAAGCAAGTATGTTTATTATGCCATGAGACTTCGAAAAAAAAATGAAAAATATTTTTTCCACTACCAGTTCTTGTCATTATTATCATTAAGTTATAATGGAAATTGCCTATGGTCATAGCTTCCAAACTCATTGGGGATATTCCATCTATCAGACATGATCCAAACATATGTGTCGAGCTAGTTAGCAATGTATTAATATGACATTTTTTTTAAATGACATGGGTCAAGTGAGAAACAAGCAAAATTTATTATAAACCTGTAGCCTATTGGTTAGTATGCTCAGACTGAATTTAAGGGTTCATAGTTTGCATCTCTTTGAGTGAAAAATGTGCTCTGCACTGTGGGGTCATTGATGCATTATAAAAGTTGTGGGCAAATCCTACTAATTAGTCAGATTAATGTAACCCAAGAGTGGTGGTAGTTCCTGTTTACTAGTTGCCTTGCCTCTAGTCTATACATTCAAAACTGGGATGGCTTTGCAAGATACCTCTTGTGAGCTTTGTATGAAAATTCTAAACAAACACATTTTTTTCAATTTATGGCACAATGACTACCTTCAACTTGATGTATCCAAATTGCTAGTATCTTCTGATAAAGAGAACTTCAGTATAACACTTTAACTTTTACTAAAAATTTTGTGCCCACCCAAATTTATAGCTTGTTGATGAAGTGAATAACAGCTGAATGTCATGGAGAATGTCACCACAAAGCTACACTTGTATTAATGTGATGTTATTGGAGATGACATGGGCTGAGTGAGAAACAAGCAAAATTAACTATAAGCCTAACTGAATTAGTACCAGTTAATCACTAGTTACACAAACATTTGTTGTAACTCAAACCATTCATATTGTTAATTTTACAGTACTATTTGATTGAATTTGACAATTGGCAAGTAGTTATTTTGAATAAGTTTTATAAGTACATTTATATTTTTTTTTTAGGAAAGTTTTCGCATGATGGCTTTTACATGCTCTTTATTCCATAGTATGCTGATTTACAAAGCTCAAACAAACCAGAACATGGTGTAATTTTTCTACAGTGGTAAAAAGTTAAATTCATGTAGTGTATGTCAGCTAGATTTTGTTAGGACAAGAAAAGCAGTCAACTTAAATGTTTTCATTTATTTATTTAATTTTAATACGTTGTCTCTCTCAGGACATATTACATGTAAGCTCCCTTATTGCCAGGAATAAAAGACCTTCAGTGTGACCATGCTGCTAGTCATCTAGGTAAATGTCAGGGGATTACTAACCTATTACGTGGTGTTCCTTTTAATGCATCTAGAGGACGAGTCTACCTTCCTACTGATGTGCTCATTAAGGTCTGTTGGCATCATATATACTTTCATAAAGTCATTAGAAAAATAATTTATGGTGTGTGTGTGTGTATGTTCTCCAAATTATTTCATTATGGATTGCAAAACAGAAGGGTTTAAAGGCTTCCTGATCTGTGGCTTAAAGTAGAATTCCACAACTAACTTTTCAAGGAGAGTATGTTATTAATAGCATCTGTAGTTCAGAGATAAAGGTTAAATTTAATCAAAACTAGTTTACTGGTATTTTTTCAAAACATTTAATACTTTGATATATTTATAAACTAAACAGTGAAGCTGTATCTAAAGTAGGAGTTGGACATTCAGATTTTTTTGCACATAAGGTCTTGTATCCATGCAGTATCATTGTGTTTCTTCCCTATTTCTGTGAATTGATTACTGTTTCCAAGAATCATGTTTTAACATATATTCTAGATTATAACTGGCTTTGAAAGATTGCTCTTGCTATTGATCTAAAAAAAAAAAATATTTCAACCTCTTTTTTTTTATTTCCTGTTAAAAGCACAAAGTTTCTCAAGAGCAAATTCTTCAAGGATCCCAGGAAAAGTCAGTAATAGATGTTGTCTATGAAATTGCCTCCTTAGCACATCAACATTTAGAGACTGTGAGTATGAATTTCTTTGTAAAATTTTGTTTTCTTCTATAAAAAGTTTAGACCACATATTGAGCCTTTGCTTGTGGTACTGTGGTTGCATTCAATTCACTCTTTCAAGACTAATTATTTTTCTTGTTTTTGTGAGTGTTATCTTGGAGTATAATAATTTGCATCTGCAGAGAAAGATTAGCCTATTTTGTATGTTGTTCTTATTTTTTGAAAAAGTACTTAACTTTCAATGCAGAAGTTACAGTTTTAGAGGTAACATAAAGCATAGTGAAATTTTATTGGCATTTCTACTCCCAACAAATGACAGGTACATCTGTATTACTACTAATTTGGCATTTTCAAACCCTCGGGTGACTGGTGTATCTGTATTACTACTAGCATTTCCTCTTACTCTTTTTACAGATTTTTGTTTGTTTTAAATGCACAAGAAAATGACAAGAAAGATTTTTGTCTGATGTAATTTAAGTACAAACTAAGGCTAATTTGTACACAATGAGTTAAGAATTCTAATAATTTACCATTCTCTGACATACTTTTTTCATAATAACACAAATACATATTTGAATATAGTTTATTCTTTCCTTTTGTTCTTTTCTAACTAGTTAGATATTTCACCATTTACTTGAGTGAAAACATCAACTTTTTTTTCCGAAAGTTATATATTTTTCATGAAAGGTGTAGGTTGTGTTTTAATACATATAGGAATTTAATAACAAAATAGTTTTAAAAGCCCAACATGAGCCTTCAGGTTAGTGCTAAGTCAGTTTTTGTAGTGGGATCTGAAAATGTTGGATGGTTTCAATGAGAATGTAGCAATATGCCTCTTTAATAAATCTGTTAAGTTCCTTCTAGATAGTTTAAAGAACACCTTTGTGGTTTAAATAGAATTATGATTTGGTGATTTGACAAGTTTAAGTAGGCAAACTAGTAAATTTTAGTTCTGTTTCAACAAGTTTTTACTCCCCTGTAAACAGTATATTTTTTATTTTCAAAAATTTTGCAAGGTTAGTTTTACATTTGCTATGAAATTATCAACTCTTGGAAATATAATGATCCAGTGTTTGTTCAACATGACTTTATTTAGAGATTTTTATTACTTCAAGTATTTGATTACCTTGTGCTAATGGCAGGGCTTAATATCTCTCAGCTGTGAACGTAGCTAGAACCAGAGAATTAAACAGTTGTAACCTATCTACCTCACCATTAAAGGAAACAGAGTGGTTTTAGCTGTATTTTTAGTTTGTCGACATGAAAGCCACTGAAGTTCTAGTATGGTGAGCAAATGATCCAGTTGCAATTTTGGAACATTTGGGAGCAAGCCACAAATCTAAGAATTTTTTTATTGTTTCTTTTGATGTTATTTTCATTCCTGATAATGTTTTGATGTTATATTGTGTTTAGTTGAAAGTTTACAGAAAATAGTTTCTATGACGAAACATCAGGTAAAGATCGTTTATGTTGAGCTAGCTAGCCTGCAACAGTAACCTATTTGGGTGACACATATCGTTTTTTTTATTAAATATATTATTAAGTTTATTGTATTGAAACAAAACAACATGCAATATAAGAACTTTTTAGTTATTGAAAATAATCTATTGGATATTAATTGATCTCAACCAAAACTATTGTTGCCAAAATATCACAGAACAACTATTGATGAAGATAACAATGGTGAAATTTCAACTCATAGTCCACTAATTAGTATTCGTCAGTCATGCTGTGTTTGTATGTCATATTAGTGGGAAAATGAAGTATACAAAGAAATATATTAATTAATATTAAACAAGTTAAAACCAATTGTACACATAGATATAATTTTCTGACCAGTAATAAAAGGCATAGAATACCTAAGATTAAAGAAGTATTTTTAATGTTTTTCCAAAAAAGTGTAATAAATTTTGAAAATATCAAAACCTAAAAAAACTTTTACAAATACTAAATTAGATCATTATTTTTTGTTTTCACCTGCAAAAACTATATACTATTTATAAAATGTTCATCGAGTTTCATAAAATTTGGTTAAGTATTTTAAGTGTGAGAACAAAAACATTAGAGACTAGTTGATTCCTGTAAATGGTCAATCCTGCACATTAAAAATGCAAGTCACATACTGCCTAACATGCAGAAGATATGTTTAAATTCCATACATACTGTGTTCCTGGAAAGAATTAACAGGTTTCACCAGAGGACTGATAATCAAGACTCCTATAGTGCATCTACTGTAACTGATACTACACGGAATGCTAATCCTTTCAAAAACATAATTTTCTAATGTAGTGTTAACATGGACTACAAATGATAGCATATCAAAAACAAAAAAGAAGATAATCATGTTAAAATGTGTTTAAAAATTAAGCATCACGGTAAAAGGAATGAGAAAGACAACAAAATGTGATGAGTGTTCAATACTGAACTAACAATGAGTATGAGAAAGAAAACCTTAAAATAAAACTGTGAAACAAAGGTAGATGAACTATAATAGAGCTATTCATCCCCATGAGAATCACAGTTGCCTCCACAGTGGTGCAATGGCCACAGACTGTGGACTCAGAACTAGTAAAATGTGACCTGATCAGGTAAGTCCAGAGAGCCTAGATGTCACTGATTGATACTCACAGAAGGTAGCAGTGTTTTCATTTATCTCTTCACCATTTGTATATCTATTTTCCTGGATTTACACTCAAGATAAGTATTTATATGAAACCATTGCTCTGAATCTAATGTAAAATATATTAGTCATTATTTCTTTTTATGCATTATTTCTGCAGAGACACATATACTGTTTTTCTATAGTTTCTTCTTTTTCCAAACAATTTTCAATCGACTGCCATTCCTTAATTTCTTGGCAGATTGACTTGAAATGTAGTAAGGTTATACCTTGGTCCAATATGCCCAGACTGCTATGTCTTCTTTTTGATTTAGGCCTTTTTAAGGATTTTATGGAATCAAAGGCCAAATAACCCAAAAATGTTTATTTTCAGCTCCTGAGCAGTCATATTTACAGCAATCAAGATGAAAATTGATACAAATAAAAAGTTACATGTGCCCAACACATCGAACTACAAAAAAGTTGGATTTGCCCATTTTGAGTCTTTTGTTTCTTTTTTTAGGGGGGTCAAAGCTCAGAAAGAAACACAGTTTTGAGGTTTTTTGGTCAATTGCTTGGCCACATTTTGCTAAATTTACTTGGAATTTTATGCAAAGATACTTTCTTGCTGGTCCCAAGCAGTGATATAGGCAGTTTTTAATTTTTTTGTTGTCAAAAATGGCATAGAACAGACATGTTGTATTTGCCCGTGAATGTTGGCCTCTTTAATTCTCTTTACACTTTCATATTTTTTGCAGGTGTAATCTTATATTAGTAGAAAATAGTTGTGTTATTTTGAATTAGTATCAAATCAGGGAATTTTCAGCATAAGAAAGAAACAATTTGTAATGTCTACTAGTTTTTATTGCTGTGTAGGTTAGGTTTTACTTTCTGTTTCCTTTCTGTTCCAGGCTAGGTCTTTCAAGAAAGATGTTCCACCAGCAGCAAGAGTTGTATTCCTTCCAGCAGTAAGTATATTCCGTACATTATTCAATAAATATATAAAATGATGACTCACAATCTTCTTCTCTTAAAAAAATACTTTTATGTTTTGTTTGGATATGTTATGTTACATACATTTAGAAACACAATTTGCATTTCAAGTTTAGACCTAGTTGTTCCTAGATTTGGCTGTTTTTAATCTGCATTTGTATGTGGTATGTGCAATAATTCATAAATAAGTCATTATTCAATTTCCATGACTCCAATTGAGAGTTTGCTTAGATGGTAAATTTAGTGTGTAGACAAAATTACACCTTCAAATATTAAATAGGAAATTCCCTCCACCCACAAGATTGGCTATTCTCGTCCAGTTCTGCCCTCTATATGCAATTTTTTTTATTTATGCATGCCACAAGCCTTCTGCTACCCCTATTGGAATCAAATGATTCCAACATGTCTCTCATGTAAATTATTATGCTTCACTTTTCCACCAATAGGAGCATGACAGATGTGACTCTCTCTATATGCCTTTATCGAACTATCACTTATTGTTTGGCAGTACTTGTGCTCCGACGTGTTCCTTTTTGTTTGTTTAAAGTTTCTTGTTCGTTTTTAGTATGCTCTCGAAGTGGTCTTCATTTATTTTCACTTCTAGTTTCTATTAAGACTGATTCTTAACTTCACTTTAATCCCAGTTTATTACAATTGCATTGTTATTTATTCTTTCAATTATTGGTTGACTCTTCCTTATTATAAATTTCGAAGTTCATGTTCCCACTTCAGGGGTCACACCTGTGACTAGCACTATGCCTCAGGTGCAGGTGACCCGGCAAATGATTTATCCTCGTTTATTTGACGGGAGATTGAATATTACATGGGTCAACCTCTGTCTCCAAACCTTTCCCCATTTCCACCCGAACAGGTAGACAAGGACTTGGATCGCCTATTTCCACCTCCTGATTTAGCCATGCTTTCCCATGCCCTGCCTGAGGAGTCAGTTAGGCCTAATACAATCTTTTTGGATTTCGTTTCTCAGGTATGTCACATTTTATCCCTTTCCCCTATTTCCTATGAACCACGTCTTCCTGATCAATCTATTTGGTTTCCCCCTCCTCGGATATTCAGGTACATGCTGACAAATTCCCTTACAATTAAGTGATGGGATTAGCATGTCCTCCCCCCCCATGGACTTCGGATCAGTTTGCTCTTGCATATCATCATGCAGACTAACCTTTTCTGAACCAACAATTATTAGGTTTTATTTTGCCTGTTTGGGGTGTGCAGCTCCTGAATCTCCTGTAAGTCTGACCAATTTTCTCACCTTCGTCTTACCCTCACAATTCTTTTACGTTATCTCTTTACTATTCATCTCCTCTCTGAGGCTCTCCATCAAAATTCTGAGGGGTTTTGTGGGGGACTTCTTCTCCCTTCTTTCCTCCACATTTGTTGTCTTTGGCTCTGGTTTTACATACATGGTTTCTCTGTTGTTGGGACCTTCTAGGTCATGATGCAACCTTAACTTGCATCCCTTTACCATCATCTTATCTTCTGGATTTACATATGGCCCCATTTCTGTGGTGATATGTCTTTGGAATCACGAGTTGCAATAGCATAACAACAACAGTCTACCCTTTCCAACCTTGTTGCCCGATTGTCTCAGTCAGAGCTCAGTATGGCACCTGTTACCATTTCCTATCCCTCCCCTTCCCAACCCTTACCTGTATCTTCTTCTCAGGGTGCCTCATCTCATCATTTTCTTCGATTATGCTCATCCTATCACCAACAATATTGGTGACTAACCAGTGGGTACTGGTTCAGTGGGAGCTCAGCTTTCCGATTTTCTTCATCACTAGCATCCTTTTGTCAAGGATCATTGGGTTCTTCATGTTTTATTGGAAGGACTCATAATCCTGTTTTTCCCCTCCTCCCATGTCTCCTATACCCATTTTCTTCCCTCTGCCTTGGGATTCTATGACCAGCCAGCATCTGTCAGAGGTGGTTCAGGAACTACTATCTCAACAGGCTGTTGAACCTGTTCTGCATCCTTCACCAGGTTTTTATTCCAGACTCTTTGATGTTCCCAAGAAAAACAGAGATTGGAGGCCTGTCATTGATTTGTCTCACCTCAATCGCTTCATTCAACTGCCCCATTTTATCATGAAGTCATTTCTCATTGGTCATTATCTGTGGGCTTCTGGATGACCAAGATGGATGTCACCAATGCTTATCTCCACATCCCTATGTCACCACGGTCTTGTTTGTACCTTTGGTTCATCCATCACAGGATGTTTTATCAATTTCATGCCCTCCCCTTCAAGGCTTGCTTCTGCCCCTTATGTTTTCTGTTGGGTGGTCAGAGCTTTTGTTTGCCATCTTCCTGCTCTGGGGTTGCAATTTCACCATTATATGGATGACTGGCTCATTCCCAACTGTAGTCGGCCAGCCATACTTGTCAGCTCCTTCTAGTGGCTGCTCAGGTAGACTGGTTAATTAAATTGGAGAAATCCTTCCTCCAACCTACCTCATATGCCATCCACTTGGGTGTCTTTTTCAACACTCATCTGAGTCAGGCCCAACCTTCACCTCTATGATTTTGCTTGTGAGGTTCTATCACTTTTGGGGATGAGGTCTTCAATGGTGTCACATATACGATCTCTTCAGTGGGCTCTTCACAATCAAAGGAATCTAGCTTGGGATCCCTTGTCAGCTCCCATTACTCTTCCCCTACCCTGATGGATGATCTGTATTGGTGGATGGACAAGGCCCATATGTCAGCATATGTCCCGCTTCCTCCTCTTCATACAGATTTACATCTTTTCACAGATGCATCCATTCAAGGCTGGCGTGCATGAGTCAATCACAAGGAGTCCTCTGGTCAACATTCTCGTGCTTCTCGTGGTCCAATGGGCTTAGAATCATTTCTTTCCTCTCCCCAGACATAGTTTGTTGATGACTCATTCCAACAATTATACAGTGGTACCACATATCAATCACCAAGGGGCCACCGGTTGAGATCTCTTTGTTTCCCAACTAAATATATCTGATGGAGAGGTCTTTAGATCCCTTTTTTCCAGTGACTTTGCAATCAATGGGGTTTTCCCCCACGTAGATGCATTTGCCACATAGCTCAATCATAAGTTAACCCTATTTTGGTCCCCGGTACCTCATCCTTGGACTCTGGTTGTTGATGCCTTCAGCCAGGATTGGTCCCACAAATTCCTTTATGTTTATTCTCCTATCTGATCACTTCATTGGGTGATCTCTCTCATCCATACCACTCTGTGTCGAGTCCTTCTGATCACCCCATATTGGCCAGCTCAACCTTGGTTTCCACAATTACAACATCGGCAACTTTTCCCTGCAGTACCTCTTCCTTTGTCACCCTCCCTTCTTCGTCAGTTGTGGTCACCAGTTCTACATCCAGCCATTCATGCCTGGCTTTTATCCGGTCCTTGGCAAGGAGATCAGGTTTCTTCCATTGAGTAGCTTTCCTTTTAGCTCATTCCATACATCCTTCTTCGATGGAGGTGTATCAGCACAATTGGAAAGTGTCCCACAGTTGGTCTGTGACTCTGGGATTCCCCGCTGACCAACCTACTGTGGCTTGAGCAGCAGAGTTTCTCACAGGGTCTTCGGTCTCCTTGCTCTCAGGTTATTGGACTGCCTTATCCCATACTTTTTGTTTTTCCCAATACTGTTGAGTTTGTGCTTCCCCTGTCCTTACTATGTTAATGGATTCCTTCCGGATTAATGTGGTCCTCCATTCCCTCACTTCACCTCCATTTGAAACACTTTTCTCGTGTTCCATATTTCACCTTTCCCTTAAAACGTACTTCCTTCTCCTCTTAGCCTGTGGACATCAAGGTCTGATTTCTTTACCATTGCTGTTTCACATAAATTTTACCACCCTACATATCTTCTCCTTTATCTGGATCATTCCTTTCTCCCAGTGACCTTGGTGGCTAGGGAGGGTAACTCCTCCTTTTTGTCTATTTCCCTCCCTTCTGTTTCTCATCTCTACTCTCATCCTGATTCAGATAGTCTCCTATGTCCATTCCATACTCTTTGTTGTTATATTGTCCACACAGCTTCCTTCCGTGGTACCTGTTCCTGACTCTTTATTCCTTGGCAATCTTCCTTTGTTCGGGATCTTTCCCCTTCTACTCTCGCCAATTGGGTTCGACTTTTGATTCAATTGGCTTATTCCTCCTTGTCTTCTTCCTCCCAGAATTTGTTCCAGGTGTCTTCTCAACAGATTCAACACCTCACCTTTTCCCTCGCATCTTGTCTTTGTCGGCCATTGGAGGAAATCCTACAGTCGGGCATGTGGACTACACCTAATATGTTCATCTCCAATTATTTACACCATATCACGGTTTCTTCATTTTCATCTTCCACCTGTGGCTGTTCTTCAGGCTCCTGTGTAACTTTGACTGAGTAAGTTTATACATTTCTTTTCCTTTCAGGGGCTCTTGCTTCATATACTCATTATATGGATCCCACTCTGTGGCAAGTGGTGCCTGACCAGGTATTCTTCAACTTGAAATCTGCACTGTACAGCCATGTTGACTCATGTTTAATTTTCCATGGCTTTGCAATGCTCACTGTTGAGATGGGGTGTTCCACAAGATCGCTTGTAGCTGAATAACTTTGCGATGTAATTGCTTCATAAACTTGCCTGTTCTGGACCATACCACCCATAGACTGCATGGGTAAAGCAGAAGGGGATAGCTGCCCATCCCTGCCATGCCTTGTATTGAATAAATCAATATGGTCTACTTTTCAGAATAGGGTTTCCTGGTCTCCCATTACACTGTGTGAATTTCTCCAGACTCTTCACCACGTTCTCACCCCTTTCTTCAAGTGGGATATAGGAGTCCTTACCACTTTTCAGTTCCCAGCTGCTGGGGTGGTCGACCATGAAGGCACCCTCCTGAATGGGTTCCACATAAAGATGGCTATAACCATTCAGTGCAGAGTAGGATGGTGGTGTTCTGTGAGTGTAGATGATGTGCTATCCTCCAATATGCAATATACACTCACAAAGGAATGAGATGTCAAATTACAGTTCACCCCTTCAATTGGGAACCCTCATCCTACCCCCACATGGATGTCTGTACACTGTGGCTAGGTTTTGGATTTAGAATAGAACCAAGCAGTATAATTCCTCACACATGTTTATGGTTGTCTATATTTCTCCCTCGATCATACTCCTGTGTTGTTGAGGTAAGGGGGATTGTTCTGGTTCTGTCCTTTTGCTATTTTGAGGATGTTATTGGTTTTTGGATAGCTCTGATCGGTTTTACTGTTGGGGGAGTTAATTTATATTATATAAACATCCTTTTGATACTGGATGTTGGGTCCCCAGATTGATAGATCAAAGCTAACATGCACGTATCATGCTCAGGGGTCAAAGTGGTTTTAGATTCCCCTCAGTCTTTTGAACTTGAGGTGAAGATGGTATGATCATCATCCTACCCCCACATGGATGTCGGTTTCCAACAGCATGGGCTTTGGATGTAGTTGACTCACTGAGTATGGTCCATTACACCCTAGACACTCTACACTTAGGGGCACATCCATTGTTTCACCCACTTTATACTTTGTGGATTGAGTTACATTTATATTTACATGGTTAGGCTCACTATCCTGCCACAGTTCTCTCCCACTTGGATGTGCTCCTCTCTTTTTTTTCCACCCTTATCTTCTACACGTTTCACGGATGAGTATACCTGGTTCAGAAGTGGTGAGGTTCCTCTCATCAGATCTAACTCTCTTATTTCCAGGGGTATCTTTCAGACACTTTTGGGGGGTTCTTTGGTCATTCCCTTGCACTAGTCCCACCACCTAATCAATGTGGGATTTTAGCTAATCTTGTGAGAAGAGGGAAGTACCATATCAGAAGTTATAATTTTCCTATACTGAAAATGCTATTTCTATTAGGTACTTCCCACCCTTCCTCTGGTGCTTACGTCTTCTGCCAATCCTCAAAGTTGTAGTTTGGTAGAGGTGTATAGAGGAAGTCACGTGCATCACATGAATATGTCACGCTCCTTTTGGTGGTGAAGTGATGCATGATGGTTTACATGAGAGACATGTTGGAATCATTTGATTCCAATTGGGGGAACGGAAGGCTTGTGGCATTAGTGAAGAAAACATTTGCATAAAGAGGGCAGCACTGGCTGAGAATAGCTAATCTTGTGAGGAGGAGAGTACTTATAAGAAATACATTTTGAGTATAGGAAAATTATAACATCCAGTTGGTTCTATAAAGATAGAACTTCCTTAGTTGGGCTCAAGCCTGCATCGTATTAGGTTGATATTCAGTTAACTGTCTATTTACAACTTAATTGCTTTCAAACTGTATCTGCAAAGCTATTAGGTCTGAAATTTGTGGAGGTGATTAAAACAGATTTTAAAACTGTAAATCCATTTTTATTGGCATTAGCACAGAAAGATTGAATTCTTGAAATAATCAGCAGCTATAGAGACTAATTATTATATACATTTTACCAAACAAAGTACCTAGAGCTTGTTTAGTTCTCAAAGGAATTACACTTTTGAATTTGGCTTCAAAATGTATGAAAAGAAGTAAGTGGCAGAGCATCAGAGCTCTTCCGAATAACATTTGAACTCATAATATATTTGTTGAAATTATCCCTACCAAGAACATTTCTTTCTTGGAAAGGCTTTTCTGAGATTAATCATAAGATATTAAAGGCTTCTTTATTCCAGCCTTATTATATTAGTTAGAGCCTGTATCTAAGCTATAGTTCAAGCATCAGCCATAATTAGTTTTCACTTTTTCAAAAACTTTAATAATTTGTATATAAAAATTGTGTTTGTAGTCATTGTATATATATATTCTTTAAAAGTTTAACAACTCCATAAAGTGTGTTGTTATGTTGGCAGGAAATAATATTATAATTTAAATTCTTAAAGTATTACTGTAGTGAGACAAACAATTGTTTTTGTTTAAGTACTTTGGAATCCAGAATGTTTTTTCACATTTTAAATTTAAGTAAACTTAAAGAAATGAGTGAAGTGTATTTTACATGTTACTATGTAATAAGTAAAATTCATCTATTGTGTTGTTTAACTTTCTTTTAGTGAACAAAATCTTCTAGCATATTAGATAATTTAGTGAGTGGTAGTAATTTAATTTTAGTCATAAGAAAAATGTTTTAGTTTGGTAACTTTGTGATGCTTAAGAATTTCTTTTCTTTAAAATCCTGATATTAATATTATAATACTCAATATTAATTTTCTTGTCTAGTAACTTATTAAAAGTCCCACAATACTCTTCAGAAGTAATCTAAGTAAATTTGTACTCTTTTCAATGAGTTATAATAATTAGATTTTTTACACAAAAAGTTATAATAAGAATAGTATATTGGAGATGGAGATCATGTAAAATGGATTTTAGAATTTTTGTTTTGTTATTTTAGAGTATGAAATAAATAGATTGTGGCAGTAGTTGCATGCACTATTTTTTGTATGTTAACAGGTTGCTTGTGAAAGTTATCTTAAGAAACTACAAGAAGCCAAGTTTTGTGTTTCTCATCCACAACTACAGCAGAGGAATGGACGTTTGCCTTTAATCTTATGGTGGCATAAACTAAAGAGAACATTTTAAGTAACAGAAAATATAAATTCAGAATTTTTTAAACTTTGTTTTATTCTGTAGAATTTTGAAATTCCGTTTCTAGTTTTGTAGCAGAATACCCTTAAAAGTAATAAAATAACTTGAAGATATGAAAATAAATGTTCTGATTATTATTTATCAGTGTAAAAAGTTTGAATTTTTGTAGATGTTATTAAAACTTCTTCAGAATACAAAACTGTGTTTCCTCAAGTAAAATTTCCATTAAAGAAATAGTGCTTGTTTCCAGTAATTTTGAACATTTTGATCCAGACAGTTTTGAAATATAAACAACTTGAAAGGATGAGAGAAACTTGCACCTGAAAGTGGCTTACCTTGGAATTTTATTTAAGTTTCCCATCTCCTTCAGAGATTTCATTTATTCTGCTATAGGATACTGCTAATAAAACTTTGTATTTAATATTTCATTGACTTAATGTTTGCATCAATATATTTGTGAGATTTTTATGAGAACTAACAAAGTAAGTTAGAAATTAGTTCAGCTATTTAAGTATGATTTCTTGATTTTGATAAACTCTTTCACTTTTTACTAAGGTTTGTAAAGTAGAGTTTATCCAACCTCTCATAGATATAAGTATTGAAAATATACAACACTTGCTAAGTAGCACCAAGAGTAATCCATAAGTATTTGATTATTCTTGACCTCCAATATTGAATTGTTACTAAAATTTATAAAAAAAAGGTTAAGTTCTCATATTTTTCTAAAGTTATACACATAAAATTGGTGTTATTACATTCTACCAATAAAAATAATTGATATGAAAGAAGATAGCATGAGTTTTTCACAGTGATATAATCATTAAAATAACATTTTTATATCTTTAGAGTTATTTCAGACAATCTGAATACCCTAATACCATGTTCAAAAATTTAATTGTAAATTTTATTCGTTTGAGTGTTTTTAAAATATAACTCAAATGTAAGAGAGTTCTTTGAATACCTTCTGAGCAGTTTATTGTTATTGTTCTTAGATACTACTTGTGAATGCAAAATATGAAGAAGTAATTAAACTTACTTTTTAAGCTCATAAGAGTGCTAAAATTAAGAAAACCATAGACGTTCTCTACTTGAGAAATGTTTTTATGGGCATACATTATGTATAGTTTGAAAAAACCTATTCCAAAAACCTGAAATAGATCAGGTTCACAAGTGAATTATATCAAAACTTTTTAAATTTTTTATCATTTGACTGCTGTATTAAATTTAAAGGAAATACTTAAATTCAGGTACAACAGGAAGAAGCATTAGTGATGTAAACAAATTCAGAGAAATTAAAGAAATAGAACTTAAGTTATTCTATATGATTAAATTATTATTTCTCTTTTTATTCATAAAATTTCAGCAAGTTGAAAATGGAAATGTATGGACAATAACTTATAATAATTTGCTAATTCTATAAACAGGAAATTTTGTAGTAATTTCAGTAACTTTTTTGAACTTTTGTGCACATCTATGTGTTATATCAAATTAAACTCTCCAGTACTTTCTTGAAAAACGTTGAACAAATGAGCCTTTATGGAAATAGTTTTCTAGATCAAACTAGTGATGTACTGAAAATTCATTATATTATTGAGATCATTTGCACTTAAATATTATTTATGGAGTATTTATATTTACGACAAAGCTATTAAGGCTATCTGCCATTGTCCTTAATTTTGTATTACTAACCAGAGGACAGGCAGACAGACAGCAATACCCTACCACCCACCATCCACATTAAAAAATTGACTCTTACTCTTATGATGAACCTAATGGTTAAAGTGCAAGGAATATTTTGTGGTATCTCATGGATTCAAATCTGACTCACCGACTCTGAAGTCCATAGCTCTACCTACCACAGGGCCAACATGTGCCCCTCTGTAGAGTAAAGGTTAAAGTAAAATATTGCATTTACATGCCACATTTAATATTACACAAAATGCTTAATAAGAAACACTATATAAAGATATTTGTTTAAACAAACACTGAAGTGGGAGTAAATATCAGCAAGTTAATCTTACCTGGCTTGTATGTGATGATAATAATCATTTATATATTCTGGTAATATTTTTAAATAAATTATATATTTAAAGAAAAGCTTATGCTAATATTGTCTACGAGCAGAGACCCACAAAATGATTGCAGACAAATTGGTATCTTTATTGCAACAGTAATTCTTCAAATACAGGATTTCTAGAATAATACAAAAAAAATTCTAATTGCAGACACTGAAATCTGTAAGTCCACATATCTTAGGTCTACCATTAATTAGCCTTCAGTAAGTAAGGCCTATGTTCAATAGAGATAAATTAACACTAACTTATGTACGTTTTTTTGCTTTAGTTTAGTTAGGGCTAAACTTTACTGCATTTAATACTATCAATAAATAGATTTATGACATTGTTCTCTGTCCTAATGTTAGTCCTTTTTAAAACTTTGATAATCTTTTAATATGTTATTGTACAAAATGTCTACTAAAGTATGGATAATTTTCAGTCGTGTGATCTACATCTGGGTAACTGCATACCAGCTGACATGTTGTGTTTCAAGCTATCGATAATCTACCTATTTAATTCAGCGAGGTGTTAAGTAATGTAAACAAACTAATCTTGTCCATGTCTGGGACCTCGAAGGGTAAAATTGACTATATAGATATGTGAGATGTCCTTTCCAGAGAGAGATATGTGTGTCAAAATTGCAGTTAATTGATGGAACTGACCCATGCAAAATACCAACAAGTGACTGGATGGGTGAAACTGAATACTTTCCTGACATATTGTACCTGGACATCATCAGTTATCTTGTGCATACCCAGAGTGCTTACATATTGAATGGCTTCAAAACTTACAAATCTCTTGAGGCCTATAACCAGTTTGTGTGTGTGGATGGGTCAAGGATGTAGGTCACCATAACATTAACACCACAACATAATGACAGCACATGTAAGTTTTCTTATGTGCAGTAGTTTAAGGTAATGGTAGTTACATACTGTGTAGAAATACGGGCAAATTAACATACCTTTAAGTAAATTCAAAATAATAATAATATCCAGTGAATGATCTGTCCTAAAGGAAGATATTTAATATAACTACATATTAGGATATTACATGTTGTCCACCTAACATCTAATTATAAGATGAATTATGTGACTTAAGGTAAATGGTCAACATATATGTATATTTATTTTGTGATAGGTACAACATTCCAAGAGACCAAGTGCCACTCCACTGAAGCTATGGGTAGTTGCAGAAAAGGATGGTACCATACTTGATTGTATGGCAGGATTATGTAAAGTTAGTAGTCACATTGGAGCTCTTCTTTTCTATGTAGATGCTTTAGTGAAACTTAGCAACTCAAAAACTGTAACACATGAACCACTTTACTGGTTGCTCCTTATTGGACTACAGAGCATAAATAAAGTATGAAATGATAGCTGACATCAATTTTGTGTCTGCAAGATCAATGCAAAAGGATTTAGATTCTGAGATATATGCATTACAGACACCTAAGAGGCAGTCATCATCACTGAAACGTCCATGTGTACCAGCTTCATCAAACAGTAAAGTAGCTGAGTTCTACCAGAAATTACATGTCTCAAACACTAAGTCTGTATTGCTGTCATTAATAGCTGATTTTGTGCCTTCCTACATTGTCTTGGCGACTCTTTTCCTACCATACTTTCAGAGCTCTATGATGAGGAGATCAGTAAGCAGCCAAGGGAGAAATGATCAAATATTGTGCAGTGTGTTCTCAAGTGTAAGTGAGCAGCAGGCCTAAAACGTGGAAACAGAAACTAGATCACAAGCTAAGAGTAAAGCATGGTTTAGTTTTAGAACAGGTCGCTTGACTGCTTCTTGCATGAAAGCTGTCTGTTCCATGCCAATTGAAAAAACCTTTGCAAAACCTAATCAAGAGCATTTGCTATCTAGACATCCAACAGTTTACTTCATATGCTACAAAATGGGGATGTTGACATGAATCAACAGTATTAGACAAATACTACAACTTCATATAAATAAACAGCACATGAACCTAGTGGATTTATGATTCATCCTACACTGCCATACATAGGTGCAACCCCAGATTCTGTTGTATTGTGCTACTGTTATGGGGAAGGGATTATAGAAATCAGGTGTCCCTATTGTGACAGATTCTTTAGATAGTACATCTTGTCTAGAGGATGTAACTGGCAACTTAAAACTAAAGCATACACACCCCCTACTACTTCCAGGTCCAAACACACATATTTGTTTGTAAGAAGGAATATTGTGACCTTGTAGTGTGGACTGAAAATGATTTTCACACAGAAAGGATAAAACCTGATCAGCAACTGTGGACTACCATTACAGAGAATGCTGAACTTTTCTTCAAGAGAGTGGCGCTACCTGAACTTGTTGCTAAGGTTCATTCTAAGCCACAGCTTGTGGCTACAGTATAAGTGTTCAGCCTCCAAGCACAAGTCAAAATACCAAGTGTTCAAGAATCTCACAAGGGATTAATATATTTGTGTAGAAAGAAATATGATGAAACAGAAGATCAGGTCATAAGGTGTGACAACCAAAATTCTAACTATCAATGGTTACATTTTAAGTGTATAAACTTAAAACTTGCTCCAAAAGGTTCATGTTATTGCCCTGAATGTAGGAAGTTGTCAGGGTTCTCCAAAAAATCTAAACGTAAAGCATAGACACCACTGACATTCAAGCCTATCATTAGTTGTAGATGAATACTTACCTTTAGTTCCATGATTACTTCTTCCAATGTATATATAAAAGTACAGACAGACTTGTACCTGATGATGACAAAACGTTGTACATTTGCTGTTATGTTAAACTTATATTAAAGTTTTTCTTCATTACCCATTCAAGCCGTCTCCAACCATTATTGTGGTGGCATGTTTGATAATCAATGAAAGGAATATTTTATACAATTATTTCGTAATTGACTATTGTATCTTTCTGTATATCACATCACTCCTGTTTTAAAAACAAAAAGTAATATTTCAATGCATGACATAACATGATTTCATGATTATATTATTTCATCAATTGCATATTTATAGACAGTAGTGCATGTATCAATATTAGCATATCATCACTGTTTGATTTGCTAGACAGACATGAAAATGAATATTTCAATGC